CGAGAGTTTCACTATCGATGTTATGTAGTTTGGATTTGCATTGACTGTGGTTTATTATGTTTGACTGATCGTATGGGCTATCGCTTGAACAAACTGTATTGCTAGTGGGACCAGGGATTTCTGAAGGCCAAAAAATCATTATTTTGATAAAGTGGGTTAGTTTGTAGAGCTTGATTTGGCGGACAGTTAAGACAGGCACTTGCCAGTTGGGGTTGGATTGATGGTGCGTAACCTAGTAATCCATCTTGCCCAATAGGGAAGTGTTGAGCAAAGTTGCGTCTTACAGGTTTATTATTTAAAATGTTTGGTGTTGAGTAACCTATTAATCCATCTTGCCCAATGGGAAAGTGCTGAGAATAGTTATGTCTTACAGGTTTATTATTTAAAGCGTTCGATGTTGAGTAACCTAGTAAACCATCTTGCCCAATGGGAAAGTGTTGATAATAGTTACGTCTTACAGGTTTATTAATAAAAACGTTTGAGGATAACCGTAGGGTGCGTTGGTTCATTGTGGTCTGTCCAATATTAATCCTGCTTACATAATGATTGCAGTGGCCATCTTGTGAGACATTTGAACCAAGTCTGCCCTTATAACCTCCCCTACGATGCGTAAGGTAAAGCATGGTGTCGGGAAGTACAGTCTTATTTTTATTTGGTACGGTCATCGTAGTATTTTTGGTATTGGGTCTAGAACCAGAAGGTTCTGTACTTACATTCTTCTTACGTGGCAAAGGTATTTTAATCTTGACAGCGTTTTTAAGAGTTGTAGCATTAGAACTAAGTACTTGCTTATGGGCTTCTAATGGTAAACTGGGTAATATCGGATTAGTGACGTCATTAGATATACTCTGGCTATCAGATGTCACTATAGACGTAACAAGCAAATTAGCATTCTTTGTTGGTATATCAGAGTACTGGAGAACATGGGATAGGGTGGTGGATACCATCCTGTTTCGCTCATTTTCACAGTGACAGACTTTACCATTGATCTATCTGGGCAATGACTAATTTCTTACGTGAATGTATTTGCAACTGGTTGATCTTTTTGTGGTGACTAATTTTACGACTACCAATCCCTTCCCAGTCGCGATGTGGCCACTGCCCTAAGTCAATCGGTATCGCCTGCATTGAGGCGGTGACCAGATAAAGCATTATTCTCCTTATGTTAGCAGGCACAACTTGGCGAAAATTCCCAACTAGCATTGGAGATTATTCCAGGGTATTCAGTAGCCTATTTCCAACTGCCTGGCTTCCCAACATAGTACAAGCAATGTTAAATCAGTTAGACTAGTGACCACAATGCAGTTTGTTTGGAAGAAATCAGTCAACATAAAGAAGTAACTTATAAACATGGTATTAAATAACATTCGAAGATCAATCACTTGTAAAAGCCTTAGTCGAGTCCTGGTAGAGGATTCTCGCAGATTTTTGTGGCCCATGTTTTGACAAACGTTACTACCTTGTTGCCACAGACTCTTTCTTCAGGCGATCTCAACCGTCTTTTTATGACGTCATCGAATGCTTACTTAATAGTCCAAGCACGAGTAAACACATTCTGCCACGTAGGGATCTCTACACCGCCAGTAACGTACAGTGATTCATTTCCTGCTGTAGGTGTAGTTGCCACTAACTTCAATGAAGTGGGGTGCAAACATTTATTTACTACTTCAAGACACACTTGTATTATGTGTGGGACTAGAGTTTGTTCGCGCCTGTAGGAAGCCCTCGTGCTATTAACAGAAGAAACCAGACTAGTTGTAGTGAATAGATCTTTATTTAGATCTTCTCGTAGTCACAGTGGGGCGTGGGATCAACTGTTCAGAAAAACAAAGCCTCTCAACATTCAATATAAGGTAATAGGCAATATAACGCCTAGACAAAATAAGGTAGTGAATGAATATTGAACTTTACTGTTTTGACATATGCTAAGTCGTTTGCAGACAACTCTTATCCAATCAACCTAAGCTGTTACAGACTTTTCAAAACGTTTCAAACTAGCATTAAAGGAACTGTTACTACAACATTCGGCAAAATGGAGGAAGTGGACACATTACTCCTGTAATATATGAATGCTCAGGATTTAGGAATGTTATTATTACCAAAAAAGTTGTGGAAATAGGGATTCTTCGATGAAATTCGAGTTGCTGAGGGTTTATAGATGTCTTACATCATGACGAGAGCGACAAGCAACCACCCACAGTGATTGCGTTAAAAATGATGTTAAACCTGTGGTGCAAATACTAGATATTAATTACCTAAACATATACAACCATTGCATGTGTCAAGTTCAACTCCAGGGACGAGGTTAGTTTGAAGGACCAGCGATATGTCCCTGAGCCATAGACAAAAGATCCAATAATCTTCGTCTTGAACATATCGTATGACAGTTCACAAGACACTGAAACGGCCAAGTGTAGTCAGTGCAGAATAATCACTTAGACTTTACGGCGCCGGCTATGCTGCATTATGTCCATACTCGGTTTCCGTTTAATATTTTCTCATTAATAAACCATGTCACTTTGGCGGGATTTGAGCTGTTCTGTTTGCTCACCAACACAAACCTACACCATAACATGAATGTTCAGGTCGAGTACCGACTGCAGGGTGTGACTCAGGTTACAGACCCTTGTCCAACTCGAGTAAATACACGTATCCTACAGGAGATTTACAGGCCTGTCAAGAGTTCGTTTGTTATTTTCAGGTATCCCATTGTGTTTAGGAAGTTTCTATGACGTTCTCCTGTCCACACTGTCAACTGCTTTCTCATAGTCAGGGACATTGATGTATAGGGACGAGTTACATTCCATTGACTGTTCAACAATAATCCGTAGTGCGCGATTTGGTCTGTGCACGACTGGTCATTCAGTATCTCGGAGCACTACATGACGACATGATACTACCTATGAAAAGTCTATAAATTCAACATGACACAACCAAGAACATAAACGGTATTTTAATATCATGGAGAGTTTTAAGACAACGTAAAATAATTAATTATACTGTAAATGTATTGTTTTTTTTCACCATAAGTTTATATGAAAGACCTAGATGGGTCGTTCGGTCTTCTGAAAACATGAATGTACCACGGAACGACTGGATTTAGGTGACAATATATATATGTGTCCGTTTTCCTCCCTTCCCTGATGTACTTGTCCTTGAGTAGCTTATACATCTGCTTTATGAGCAGAAAATGTGGTAAACATATAAGTGTTCGATTTTATTAATTGACAAGATGCTCATAGCTCATTGAAATATTAACAATGTATGAAATGAGTCGTTTGGAATGCAGAAAAGTTAGAATGCGACGATCGTGAATTGAAGGCCCCAGATTTAGCGCATTCTATTTCATCAGATTAAAAACAGCTTCATTTGCCTCATAACTATTTCTCTTGATATATTCCAGTTTGTTGTGCTCAATTCTTAGGCAGATTTCGCAATCTCTTAGTTGAAAAATAGACCTGATCTCCTTCAAGTATTTTACATAATTGAGACTTCAGAGGAGTCAGTTCTAAGTGGGTTTATGAGTATATGAGTACTAGGTTCCGAAGCAAGGACTGGAGCAACGAGACATTCTGAAGCTCTTAAGTCTTGTGTTTGTCTCTAATAAATGGTGAAGTGTACAAAAAGCAGGTTCTCGGTTTATTCGTTGCAATAGTAATTAAGTTTCCAAATCCATACTCCCAATAATAATAACGTTTCGAGTAATTCTCACGAGCTATTTTAATTAAAAAGTTACGGTCAATCATATACTCCACTTCTGAAGATCCCGATCTTTACTTGAGATACTTTTCTCATCCCCTCGATGACTAGGTTACAGTCCAAATTCTCTCTAATCACTTTCAGACCAATATTATTTCCTTAATAAAGAAAACAACTGATTTCTGTATTATTCTTTTATTAAGTTTGGAGGGGGGTAGGAGGTTTGGTGATACCTAAAGAACTGAATGTACAAACCATTCTCGATTACTTAGAAATTTAGGGAAGGTAAATAATATTAGTTATGTCGAGTATCTGTTTCAATAATTCGCCAAAGAGGGCAAATCTAATAGGTAGGGCTTGTTATATACATGATTTTGTTTCTTTGTTGCTGCTTTCTGATTATGATGTCTTGATTGAGCTCTCGAAACCGTTTACACCTGATACAGAAAGCAGTATCTGAGTAGCTATTTCATGGCCATAAGATTGTCACGGATATTCTGGGCTTGGAAACATTTTCGTCATTAACACTTATATAATCGGAAGATCCTAAACTCAGTTGAACCAGAAGTCAGTTCTTACGGGGCTTGAAGACACATCCCGAAGGTATACTTTATGTCGAAAAGTGCTTGGACTGATCAGGCTAGTTGCTTAGATGGATGCCTGATATGGAATACCAGATGGTTATCCGGGGAGAATGCGTGACACAGTGCCTTCAGATAAGATTTTCTCAGTAAAACGAATTAGGTACGGATCAATTTGAAAGGTTTACAGGACTTCCTATTCGAGGGATATATTCATTATTACAGTTGTTAGTAGTTAAATTCATCTACTATTCTATATCACTGTCATTATTCTCTAGTTATCATGCGAATTTTCAAGTGGATTTCAATTTTTTTTCAATTTCTTATGAACTACTCTAGCTATATCCCTTATTCATTGCGACCCCACCTGCTAAAAAGGAAAGCCAGCGATTTTAACATGTTCGCTAAACAGGTACGAGAAGGATGTTCCTTTCATTCTCAAATTATTTGGAATGCCTATGAAAAAGGATAAAAGAGAGTCCTATAACACAATATGATGGCTCCTACGTACTAAAAATTACTATTCAAGTAGACTTACTATATGGAAACTGGAACCTAAACGTGTTCTTCCCTGAAATGAGCGTTGGAAATAAATAGCCAGAGATATTAGATCATTAAAAGAGAGAATGCATACATTAGGTAACAAACGGAGTAAAGTATACTATTGTGTTCGATACTTTGATGTACACCCTTTCCTTTTTCAGTTCATTAAAACAAACAGTTCTTATCGCTTCACATAGCATCCATTGAACAATTTGATTTGGAGATTATCCTTCCGTGATACCTGTAGTCACGGTGAACACATCTACAGCCTCTCGAAAACCTGTATAATCAGTTAAAATACAGTCTAAATTCGAGGCTCAAGGTTTAAGGTCAGAGAGGTTTACTGAACTTGATAATATTGTTTGGTATTTTATTCAAAGCCAGATTACTTATACGATTGGCTACTAGCATAAATCCGGTGCCTTACATGATGGTAAGTATGGTTGTATTCACTTCTATGTACACCGTAGCAAGTTATAGTAGTCCAAAAAGATAGCATGTTAATAGAATGTAATGATTATCCCTTTTTGTTCATGGCTATGCGCTAATATTAGTCCGACTTTTACGCGCACTTCTCAAAACCTTCGCTTGTAGTAGGTAGTTTATCAAAATTCTAACTAACGTGGTATGAAACAGTCAGAAAGCGAGGAGCACAATATTTACCTAGTAAGGATATCTGTTTTAATTTTGAAAAGCTTTTGTTTAACACTTAATTTAATACAATCTTTGATGCATAACCTCAGCGACTTTGGAGAGCTGCGTAACCTCCGCTTTTCGACTCTCTGAAATGATTTAAGGTTTGATGGTCTTAAAATGTTTTCGAATAGAGTTTCAATAGATTGGTAGTGTTTTTCTTTTAAGTTTAACTGCGTGTTAGCTATTCGACGGCCTTTCGATGTTACCTAAAGTATATTGTGTTTATGGACTTTAATCCACTAGATTTAAACAGTCAACCACTTTTAACTTATGGCAATTTTTTCGCCGTAAAGGTTTAACTCACCATGCACTTTATTATTTTGGTGGAAATTAGTTTTGGTAGGAACTACGCGGCCAGTGCTGGAAATATCTTCCATTGGTTGTGGAACATTCATTTTGTATCTCACTCCACTACTGACTAGATAGTCTGTAGTTTTATATCTCATGCCTATATGTCAGACTGGTTAGTCCAAGTTGTTTCTTATCTGAGTCACTCAGTAGTACATATGGTAGAACCTGGTAGGTGGTTAAAAATATTAAGAATAGGCAAAATAATTTAAAGAAAATGAATAAATTCATGAACCAAAGGATTTAAAAGCTAGTTAGAATTCTTAAGGTGGGAAGATCAGCAGTGAATACATTTGTTCCATGACGAACGACTCGGGATTATCTTCTATGACTCTAATCAATGGTCATGAGAATAGCGTGGACCCCAACCTTTCAGACTGCACTCATTAACATGCCTCACTCCAACAATCAGTGACTTTACTGACTGATTCTACGTTTTGGTCTGGTCACCTACAGATTTCCCTGAATAAACTCCTATAATAGCTAATGTCGCACGTAGAGGTGGACGATGGCTGGGATCACGTAATACATGTCCAAACTACCTAAATTGATTGGTGTCCACTATCTCGTCAACCGGTTCGCCACCTATAACTAGAGCTCTTTGTCTGACATCACAGTTGCACACTAAGTGACCCGAAAAAGCGCGAGGAATGCTTCGGAGGAAACTTCTATTTCTAATTACTAGGATGGCTGATGATACTTTTAAGACAAGTGAAATAGTAGAAGCACTCGACTACTTCACTGTCTATTATCAGTTTAAGTATTAGTGCAGACCAGTCATGAAGCAACATTCCCAGAATTGAAAATTAATGCTCTTTATGGAACAGTCTACTAACACACACATAGAACATACATGATTCATCGGATACACTATGTCAAAGTGATAATAATTAGTTGTTCATAAAATTAATCTGTTCTAGATATTTATTTCTGCATCTTAGTACTGCTTAAATAGTGTTGTAAAAACGACCTCACTAGATCATTCATACTCTTATTGTATGATACTTCTCTTCATCTTTAGTTGTCAGTCAGTTTTTCGAATGACAACACAATGTTTATATTAGAGTAGAACATATTCAACTACTTCACTCGTTATCATTAATCTAAGTGTCAACGCAAGCCAGTCATGAAACAACATATAGAATTTAGAGGGAACAAATTACAAACCAAACGTGTTTACACTGTTGCTCAAGACGATCAGAAGATTGCATTTTCTCAGAGTTTCTATAAAAAAAGACTATGTTACTTAAGTATTCTAAGTTAGCAAGCGATATTCTCAGTAAGAAATCAATGCCTGAAACGTTAAACGATGAGAGCATTATCACTAGACGAATGTCTATGACGAGGTTAGACAAGAATAGGGACATTGGAAAACTTACAAACGCCACTAAATGTTAGCACTTCTAATGACAGTTTGTTATAAGCTCTGATTCAACCAGTAGCATTCGAGTATACAGTCTGCACAAGGATGCTGTACTGTGGTGAGCTTTTAATTGGCAGACAGTTCCATAAAATCTCGCAACCAACAGAATCGAACGCTGCCTTAAGGTCGAGAAATATAACTGTGGTTAGGAATCAGTAGGTATGTCTGTATTCCAAAATTTGATGAGGAGCAACTGTTAGTTATACGCAAATACTCCCAGGTCTAAAGACAGTCTGGTTTTCTTGAGTATGATCTTCATGGACTCTAGTTAGGAAATACATTAGACTGTTTACGCTGCGGTTATCACACAAGAGGATTTTGTTCTTGTTAACTGGAACGACCACTGGTTGAAATCAATTGGGATTATGTCCAATTCCAAGATTATGGGTAAGATATTAGTAAATCCATCTGTTAAGAATAGACCACTATCTCAGATGATATGTCTGAACTAATCAATTTAAGGAATGTTCAAATCCCACTAACGAACCTTGGACGCTTACCTAGTTCTTTGTGTCTAATCTCAGTACTATCCACTCCGTGATCTTGACAATCATCAGTTTTACGAACAAGTCGCCTACTTTAAAGACCACGTTCCACAGCCGTTAAGTAGGTAGAGCGAGCTGCTGTGCAGCATACTCGTCCTTTGGTTAGCAAATGGAGATCTCGGGCAAGCGATAGATGATTTAAGTTGGCAAAGACTAATCGAGCTTTCTGAATCCATTTCAAGGGTTTTTGAGACTTCCAAGATGAGTTTAGTAGTCCCTAAACTCTACCGCTTCAATGCCTATCGTTAGCATAGACGTTGACCCACACCAGTGAAATCATATATATATATATATATATATATATATATATAATCCTCATGAACAGATATCCGCTCCACATAACTGGGAATCTATGACAACTTTTGAAAAGAGTATATCCTTAAATCCTGGATTACTGATTAGTTTTTTCATAACATTGCTCGTTTATAATAAAATAATCAAGTAATGCTGAATTTATGGGCGAACTAATTGTTGGAACTGGTAAGTCTTGATGAGGCTTAAGATTTGTAACTGGGATTGTTGGCTTTGTTGTCCCTACACCCGAACCTCTGCTTAGCTGTGTGGAGATGTGGAGGTTTTCTAGTTTTTGCGTGTGATAACTCACTGATACTGACGCATTAATTCCGTCTCCTGCGCCAAATTTCCAAAGTAATGTACAATATTCGTTCTATCCACTTCATTTTTTTCTCTTGACTCTTCATTATTTTTCTAGTTTTCATTATTGCTAGTAAAGTCGTTCACCCATCGTTGTTCTGCCTGCTCGTTAATTTGCCGTTGCTCTGAAATGCAACAAGTGAGAGCAATGCATATTTGCACCAGGTCCTGTGGTATTGGTATCTATTTGCCATTGATTATCTCTGGTGGTTACAGTTTCGAAAATTAGTTTTCGGAATCCCGTCGTAGTTGATTGGAAGTTTAAATTGACATTTGGAGTGCTCAGATGTCTAGGTATAAATAATTTGCCCAGGTCAGTATGCCATCACCAAAATATTGTCATTAAATATGATATAAAAATGTTCTATGGTTGCTAGTTTGAAGATCATCTCAAAGCAGCAAAATATCTGACTTCATAAATCAGTGATATGTGAATTTAGTTATTTTTAAAAGTATTTCGTACGATACTGTTTTGGCATACTATTTTAAGTGACTTCCAAGGCCTAAGGTGATTTGTAGCTGATGGTTTTAACATAGTTTCATGATTGCGTCTCATTCTCTTAATGTTACATTGCTTTTCATGAATTGTCCTTTGAACTTTACGTTTTTAGGTTGAGAGCATTATAGACAGACGAGTTCGCCGTGGTCGCGTGGAGTACCGTGTTAGATGGAAAGGGTTTCCTCCGGAGCAAGATTCTTGGGAACCCTTTACCAGTCTTCGCGAACCATGCCTTTCATTAATTCAAGACTTTCACATCCGTTATCGCAAACTTCATCATGGTAAAAGGCGTTACTCTCTACCCTTGGTTTCTCGTAGTAAGCTTTTGAAGTGTGAAACAGATGAATTTCATGACATGTCTGCAAAATTAGAAAAAGATAGCGATGACGACTTAGCTGCAGACAAGAGCAGTATTTCGTCTACCAAAAGCCAACCACCTCCACTTCCTTTTAAGTTAGGTAAGAGAAATACCGTACGGCCAACGTCGCGTCGTTCTGCTCCAAGTTCAGTAGCCTTAGGTTCGACTAGTTTATTTTCGTTACAACCGGGAACTTATTCTAGCCACTCGTCATCCCTTCCGAGTTCTGAGTCCAGTGTTTCGCAAACACCATTAGTCTGCGATCCAGGTGCGATGTTGAACATCCAAACACTTGATCGTTCAGATCATACGATACACCCAGATAATGGTTGGGTTCCCTGTGAAGTTTCTGGTGCTTCAACTGGTTCACTATCTAGTCCCAATACAATCCAGGCTGAAGATGACTGTAAAGTTCGCATGGATAAAGTTCCTGTTGCCGGACTTTCTAAAGATAACTGCAGAGATACTTCACAACGATTACAAAAAACATCAAGATCACTTCCTGACCAATCAAACCGTAATACTCACAAGTCTAGCAAACGCAAATTGCAGCCGAATGATGGTGCTTGTAAACAAAATGATCCAGTATCTGCAAATCAGCAAGTTTCTCAAAACTTCCTGAAGGGAGATAAAAATGTAGGTAACTTCACTACCACTGATACCCAAGAAAATTCTCTCCTCGGACAAACACGTAAATCTGTTACGATTATGCTAAAGGCTTCTCCCACACATGAGTTTCAGAGCACTAGATCTCTCCACCGCAGTAATTCACCAAACTCTAAATCTCTTCCTACTACTGCCTCTAAACCGGTTTCCAAAAAGCGTGTTCAGCCTACTAGTGCAACTTCAAAGCCGGAACAAGATGTTGATGCTTCCGAATCCCTACCATCATGTGAAGATCAATCTCCCATATCTGATTCTATCATATCAAAAGTCATGAATATCGTCGTTCATCTGAAAAACCTAAGAAGACGCCCTGTACAAGAGATTGTCCTGGCACTTTGCCAAAAGCACCATAGTATTCCTGAAAGCCTCGTTTTATCTTCTCTAGACATCTTAGTAACACGAGGTCACTTACACCGTGTTGAGTCAGCCAAGGGTATATCTTATCGTTCCAACCCTTTTGTTGTGGCTCGGGGGGACCTAAAGAAACCTGCATCTCTATCAGCCAAAATTAAAGCCAAATATAATGGTGGAGTGAATGGAAAACGACCCAAGTGCACGACGTCTGCTGTACCTGAGCCTAAACGACCGAATTCATTGGAGTCACCAAGCCATTCTTTATCTAAAATTGCGCGAACTGATCCATCAACCAATGTTCACCAGCGCTCTAGTCGGAGATCCGTAACATATGGATCAGTGGCTTCTGAAAAATCCAATACGCACTGTTCTTGTTACTCAGATATCAATGGAAAAATCTACTTCAATCAGTCTTCTGTTATTGTGGATGATGTACAAGTAAATCAGGATCATACCATACATCTTGACGGAGGAGATTATTCAATGAGTGTTAAATCACCATCAAGTATGTAGTTCTTTTTCTCCTATCTTGAATAATTTCTCCACAATATTCTAGTGTTACGTAAAATATTGATTTGAACATTGACTAGTCACACCTACACATTAGTTCACTGTATCTCACGGAATGAATGCAAAAATTAAATTTTGAACGTTGTCATTATTTGGAACTGAAAAGAGTTAACAGTTTAAAAGCGCTTAGTTTGTGATCGATCCCTTGATTTGTGCTCAAAAAGTTGGTTGAATAGTGTTATAACTTGTGCCCTGTGTCCTATTAATGTATAACATAATGATACCGCCAATTAGAGAACAGTGATTTATCGACCGGACCAATGACGTATAAAACCCATACGAGTAGTCTAGAGTCTACCGGTTCTTCTTCCTGCCTAACCCTGCCTGTTAAGTCCAGAACACTAATCTCAGCTTCTGCGATATGAATAATTTATTTCAAACATACTAGATTTATATACCAACCAAATAGACCACATCGTACCAAAAAATAGGAAACAGCATTTGTACAAGATTTGGCCAAATGTGGCTAAGAAGTTGGGAGACAGTAATTGATAGACGGAGCATAACTCAAAAATGGTAAATCGTATAATAATAGTTCACAGGTCAAAATAAAGCTTATGACAAGAGGAACACGAATATGAATAGTTTGGATATTTGACAATTATACGATAAAGATATACGTATAGTATTAGTCCAAAAATAGATCCCGACAGTTGCCAATCATTATTCTCATTGGTAGCAAATAGCCCCTTCTCAAAGGAAGATACTTCTACCCGTTCTTATTGAGAAAATATTTAGAAGAACCGTTCTGTTTAAGAATCCTTGTAGTATTTTTCATCAACACTGTTCGTAAGGTTTAAAAACCATAGGATGGTTGTGGTAGCTAACTTATATTAATGATCCAGGCTTCACTGCTGATGTTTTGAACACAAAATGGCATTAAAAACCAACATTCATAGTTTAAATCATCCCCATCTGACTATTAATTATGTTTGATTGATGTGATTGTTTTACAATTACTTATGTTAGTCAGCAGTATGGACTAAGCAAAGTCGAATAAACATTTTTGGTAAATACACAAACACTTACCAACATTTCTAAGTAAATCCATGGCCTAGTGATCAAATTGTAACTTTCAATTATCTTTTTGTAGGTTTAAGAGCTGTTCTGCTCCAATATATTGCTATTTATCGCATAAACAAAGCCGAGTACACAAATATGTATTGGCCAAGTTAATGAATTCTATTATTTGCTAAGTACTTTACTCTTTTGACATTAAAGTTCTCCGTTTTTTAATATACAGATATTCTTCAACAAGGCACCAAGATATTTATTGTACCTCCGGCTAGTCCATTAAATGAAACAACTTTTGAAAGTCAAATGAATAACTTACCATTTCATCGATCTGAGCAAGTTAGTTAACCTACATGAATTATTATGATTGGGATCTATTACAGACATTAATGTTTAGTGGCTTTTAAAAAAATTATTTCGAAACTAACTTACGTTTAATCTATTAGAATTCGTTTTTTATCTCCGTAATATTTATCATAAAAGACAAGAGTTTGTTTAAGGATAGAAAATAATAGTAGTTGAACAGTAAAACTATTTTTTATTCAAATATCATCCCACACAACACACCAACTTTGTTTTTGTAATACATGGTTATTTCGGATGTAAATATCTTTCACAATTAAAACATTACACTTGTTTTAAGGTATGTATAATGAATATTCTAAATTTTAATTTGTATACGAATGAGTCTTATGTGCGACATTTGTAACTGATATAAACTAAAAACGTATGGATGGATAAGCTATTGAGATAATTTGAACGCTGTCGTTTTATACTCGCAAACATTAGACTTGATTCGTTTGATATGAATGAACTAAACAAAACAAAGAAGATTGAAGTATTTAGTCCATGATTTTAGAGTCAGTAAATAGTTGAGATTGCACATATATAGTCGGTTGAAAATCTTCTAATTTCTGACTGAAACGTATTTAAAAGAGTGAGTGTAGTTCTCTCTCTTTGTTCCCATAGTGTATGTGGTTTTCACTTGTAAATTTCCAAACGGACTTTAGATACTTTAAACTCCCCATTATTAGTGAAAGCCCGTGAAATAAAACATTATTGCGCTTTATTCCTCAAAGTATATTATTTCTTCAATGATACAGATCTGACTATTTCTTATAATCGATAAAATGTAGTTGATGTGCTAAGTCATTTAATAGGAAGTGAAATCTAATCCAATCTTTATCTTTGAGATTAGACAAATGACGCGGTCAATTTTGAATTCGTTAAAATCTATCAAACATCTCTACTTCGAGGGTTCTCCACAGGTTTATTGATAGTAATCTGAAGCCAAAACGTCAGCTGAAATTAAATTCACAGTTTTGAAAATTTTATGACCGCCAAATTCTAAGGGGATGCGACAGCAGGAATATTGCACAACAGATTACCAAGGTTTATAAGCTAAACCTACTTAGTGGAGCTCCGAACTTTTCCCTCTAGTAAACACCTCATTTGTAGATGTGTCAAGGATAAATTGGCATTTTGGGTCATCCCACTGTGTATATATTGGCTTACTTGCAATATAGACTGTTCAAAGCATGCACTTACCAAACGCAAATCCGAGCACAATCCATTTCTGTCTAAAGGGGTATCCAAGTTAGTTAATAGCTCAATCATCAAACACATTCTCAATTTAGGTAATTACCTATTTCATTTCTTGTAAAAATATCATTTCATATTAGCTTCAACTCAATACTTCAAAACATTTATCAATCTTTATTACTTTTTAAATGATGCAACGCCTCTCCAGTTGTTATAAACCATTATATTCAGTACTTGATTATGTACAACACTTTCGTTAAATGACTCAACACTCTCTGTTTTATTTCTGACTACCATTTTTAAAAGTAAATTTTAATGAAATGTTGCGGTCTAAGTAAGTGACATGATCTAAATTAAAGTTTTCCGCGGAACTATATTCTTTGTTGTGGTCATGAACCAATCAATGTTAGACCGTTATTGAAAACCTAAAAGCATTGGGGGTCATTCTGTTATAATGTGGGACTCCTCAGAAGAGCTCATTTACGATCTCATGTTGTGCGACCGTCTTCGATTGGTGACTGCCTCACGACCGACATGGTTAAACTTCTGAACTACCTTTCTACGCTAGTCACTAATGACCACATGATAATGATCAGTATAGGTCTGTAGAAATTGTTGTTTTTGTTGAGATAATTTCTTCCAGTTTACTATATTCACAATTATTATAATTCAGCAGGGTAGCATTCACGATCAGTTCTCACTCGAATGTATTGTGTTTCGCTTTGATTGTTTAGTCGATCACCATTCTTTATGTTATTTTAACATTCAGATAATATGCAAAACAATCTTAGTGATAGTAGTAACATTAATGGTATACTAAAGGAGATGATTGTAAACTTGGAAAAACATAATTCCATCCAGTAAACTGAGATATATTAGTCAAAAAATATTCACAGATTGTTCTTTCATCCTCTGAGAAAAATAATAATCTTTTTTCCACTTCATCGATTTTGGATTTTTTTATGTTTAGCCTAATCAAAGTTCATGTAATAATTTGAGTTCTACATCTGGGTCCAATCTCGATAGCTCAAGCATTCCACAAACAAATTCAAGACGTAGTAATCGACAAGTAGATGGTTATAAATTCAAATCGATTTGGGTAAAGAAAAATATACAAGATGGATTTACAGAAGTTTGGTTACAATCCCCTGGTTCTTTTCTAAAAAATGGATTCACAATTCAGGTAATTCATTAATTTATTTTTGTTTAAAATGACCAGGCATTTTTAACCCCATGTCATTTTTCAGTTATCGGTCGTAGCTGCTACAATGACGTGGTGGTTTAGCTTGTTTATTATGATAACTTAATTAATCCGAATTCGCTGGAACACTTGCTCCTTTAGGTCATATCATGCTAGGCAGGTTAGTTAAAGACTAAAGGTATCAACCTAAATTTCGAGGGCGAAGTCATACTGCTGACTGTACAGAAGTAAAGTTTCTTCCAAATAACCAGTATGGCGTTTCTGCCTTTTAGAATTGAAGCAAGGGGTTATAAATAGTCACTCTTAAAGGTCCTATATTTCACCTTACCAACAGATTTCGTCCCTGTAAGTAACTCTTTCGCAGTACGGAGCTGATACACCAGAAAATTGAATAACATTTGTGCACGACTAACGTCGAACTGTTGTCCTTCGGGCTCTGTGGTCACACTCCCGGGTCACTGTAGTCACTATTAATTCAGCTTCTTTTTCAGGCCCATAAGAAAAAGTATCCTTCCACTCTGTGTACAACCCGAATGTGACAACTGCCCTTATATCTTTAACAGCATTCAAGACCACCTTTTTCATAATCAAACCCCGTAACTTTTTAATATTTCTTCAATCCCCACTACCAAATCTTCTTCTACATCTTTATCACCATACGTCACTAATGCTAACAAATCGCTCTTACGAACTGTGCTTTAGACCACATGTTGGAGTTTCAGTGTTCTAACCGTATGTCAATCGAACATCAGTCAGTCAGTCAACTACAACGTAGGACCAGGCACATTTATACATCGGTCCAAGTTGCCATACCTCATTAACACAACAAGATGGACACCGGATTCATAAAAGTAGTTAATTCAGAGGTGGTAATATATAAAAGAAAGATTTCAATAAGGATATAGTACAGGAAGAAAGAATTAGTTAGTAGAAAGAAAGATATGAAGCGATTTTAATCTCGTAGTTTAAGGGAAGATAGAGAGTATATGCACCAACGCCATTGTGATCGATTCTGAGCCATGTCACCAAGAGTCTCCAACCATCGGTTACGAAAGTCACGCGGACCCCAACCAAGTAGTCTGCATCTACCAACATGGCTCAGACTAGAGGTTAGTGTCTTCAAGCACTGATGCCACGTTTTGGTTTGGCCGCCCCTAATTCTCTTCCAACGATCTCCAACACCCGTTAGCATTGCACGACGTGGTAATCAGTGTTCAGGCATACGTAACACGTTGCACAACCATCTCAGTCGATGAAGATTAACAACCTCATCAACTGATTTACCATCATTCCCTAATACTCTGAGTCTAACCTCACCATTACTTACCCGGTGATCCCAACAGACGCCAGCAATATTTCTAAGGCATCTGTGGTCAAATACTAATAGCTTACGGGTGTCTTCTACTCTTAATGGCCATGTTAGTCTTTTTTATAGAAACTCTGAGAAAATGCAGTCTTCTGATCGTCTTGAGCAACAGTGTAAACACGTTTGGTTTGTAATTTGTTCCCTCTAAATTCTATATGTTGTTTCATGACTGATTTGCGTTGACACTTAAATTAATGCTAACGAGTAAAGCAGTCGAGTGCTTCTACTATTTCACTTGCCTTAAAGTATCACTAGCCATCCTTGTAATTAGAATTAGTCTCCGAAGCATTTCTCGCGCCTTTTTTGACCTTTTAGTGTGCAATCGTGATGTCAGACAAAGAACATTACATTCGTTGGGAGACATAGCCTAGAATTGTTTTTTACGGAGCAGATGTTTGTATTCTTTTTCTTTTCCCACATCCTAAATATTTTAACCAGCCTTTAAATTTTTTTATTTCACGGTTTTTGTCTTTTTGCCGTGATCATATTATCTCTCTCTTTAATGTTTTCAACTGCTGTGGTATCTCGCTCTGTCGAGGTTCTACGTTGTATATAACTGGCTGGTTTCGTGTTATTGTAAAAATAATCGACATTATTGTGGTTGTCTTATCTTCGCTTGCAAGCTTTATAAAAGTCTAACAGTTTGTAAGTGATATGTAAGTATATATTTAATAGGGTACTCATATTTATGATGTATCATATTTATCACTGAAGTGTGACACTTCTGTTTAACACAACTCGGTTGTTTTTAATTTTATTGTTACTAAGTTTTATATGCGGTAGTGCGAATATAATTTTTTGTCGTTTTGAATGCATAATTTTACTTTGATGTTACCTTTTTGATGTATTTTAAATAGATAATCTTAATTGTACTAAGTTCTTGTCGAACGTGTTCATATGAACATGTACAGACTTTGTAGATAGAAACAATATTCTTGATAATGCCCAACATTGTGTAACATTCATTTTTCATCATTCTCATTTCATTTCGTAATTATAAATATCATGCCATGAACTACCTTAAAATTTGTATTTTGTTCATTTGGGTACGCTTTCGTCGTTCTAGCTTAGCGGTATATCCATTAAGGATGTACGTTGTCCTACTGTCGGCTTTTTACTCGATTATGTGCTTATATCGATTGATACTTTATGTTACTATCTAAATTAACTGTGGTCTTTTTGACAGTCCATCTTTCCAGTTTTTGTCCAATTTCGCTGTTAATAGCTCTATTGGATTTGCTCTAAATGTACCGCTATTTTCGTTTTACTTCTCAGAAATAAATCTCTTACGGGCAGATCCTCTGATCGACCTAAGGTAAACAGACGACGTAATTTTGTCAGAAAAAGATGTTGGTAAGTTTCAGGGTCCATTTGAATTACTTCAGTGAAAATCTGAGAATGTTAGTTATGTATTTAGCATCTATCTAATAAGCTGACACTCAAGATGTGGTTTGGCTGATACCTAGCCTAATACTAGAGAGTTAAGTGATCGAGAAGACTCCCCAGTCCACTCAACTTTAAATTGTTTTTAAGCCTTGTTTGTTGATAAGTAAAAGAATTCTTAGTGCATCAAACACATGTTTGACTTTTAGAAATCCAAGTAACCTATGAAGCTTGCGATATATCTGAATCTCATCCAAATGTTATGCGCTATTTATTCATTATTGCTTTGTTTTTAAACATTAATATCTATCGAATTCAGTTTTCGTAGTTTGAACTTGACTGAAATAGGAGAGTATTACCAAAATTTCTCTAAACGATGTATATATATATATATATATATATATATATATATATATATATATATATATATATATGTATATAAAGATTCTCAAATAATATGAACACCTTTTTCCAAATGCACAGTTTTACTTTATCATTGCTTAAAGCATTTTGAATTGTTTGTTATTTTGCTGTAACCTTCATGAATATTGTTGCAACTAAGTAAACAACATCATCCTACTTAGTTTACTCATTCATAAGCATTACTTGACAGATGTTTCCATTCCTCCCCAGCATTTTTTGTTATGTTACTTTACTACTTAATTTAATAAAGTAATAACCAACCATTGAAATTAATAAATTTTTGTTTTCAGATATTTGTGCCATATATTTATGATAGTCAAAGACTACTTTTATAGAATAATGTAGCATAAAATAATATTGTCATCCACTTGTTGTGTAAAAATTCACTTCTCTATAACTACACATTGACTGGTGAAAAGTTCAAATGCTACCACAAAATATGAATTCTGAATCAACCATTCTAAAGCTTTATCTTCCATTCAAACTAGGCTCTTTCAACGTTCTCACACTCATGCAAATTAAACAACAGATGGGTTCGTCTATTTATTTATTTAATTGAACATATAAATATTGGTACAAGAGGGCATCAAATATATATGCGTCACACAAAACAATTAGAATTCGAAGAGAGAAAAAAGAACAAAAACGAACAGATTAGTGTAAGGTAGTGTAATAGTAATTAAAAAATAATAATAGTAATAATGGGGGAAACGGAAAGATATAACCAAAAGAAATCTTTCAATTAAGGAAGGAACAACCAATTTTTATGAAGAATGTACAAGAAGGTTACAGCAGGATCGCCACTGGCTTCTATTCTGAGCCATATCTGATAACGTCTCTAGCCACTGTGTAGCACCATCTCTCAGACCCCAACCAGGGAGTCGTGAAGGACCAACACAAGCCAGCCCTTTGCAGAGTTCTTTCATACCACGACACCGTGTCATATACTGACCACCTCTCCGCTTTTTCCAACCAGTTCCAGAGTCGACAAATAATGCACGACGTGGAATTCTCTGGGACGACATTCGTAGGACATGTCCAGGCCACCGAAATCGGTGTTTCAAGATAGTGACACCAATCGAATTATCGTCTCTGTGCCCGAACACACGATGCTGAACCTCTGCATTACTAACATGATGTTGCCGCTGGATGTCAGTAATCCTTCGGAGACAGCGATGATCGGACACAGAGAGTCGTCTAACATCCTCAACTCGGAGAGGCCAGGTTTCACAAGCATAGAGCAAAACTGCTCTCACCGACGTTTTAAAGCCAGACTAACATCACGAAGGCGCCAAAGGTGGTCCGGATTGGCATGAGCCGCTCTGGCTTTCACTATACGTGCATTGATCTCATCACTCACGCCACCACCAGCACTTATGCAGCTACCTAGATACACGAACTTCTCGACTACTTCTATCTGCTCACCATCCAGGGTGAGTACAGGATTGGAATCCTGCCAGTCTTGTAGAAGTATTTTGCACTTCGAAGGTGGAAAGCACATACCGCACCTACGGACATTGATTGCCAACTGATTAGGTGCGGATTGCATGGCATGGATATCATCACACAGTAAGACAGTATATTCAGGATAGTCAAGGTCAGAAAGTCTTTCTCCATGCAACAGGTTCACACCACCATTACCTACATCCATCAGAGCTGTTTCCAGAATGTCATCGATGGTAAAGTTGAAGAGGAATGGTGAGATTGGGCAACCCTGCCTAACCCAACTGCTTGAGTGGAACAAGAGAGAAAGGTGATTGTATGCTTTCACTCTACCCGAAGTGTTTGTATATGAAGCTTTTAAGATGTT